ACAGCCTAAGACACAAACCACAGACACAAACCACACACACACGCACACACACGCACACACAAGTGCACAAGACAATACACACACACACGCACATACACACACACACACACACACACACACACACACACACACACACGCACACACACACACACACACACACACACACACACAGACACACAAAACGCAACCAACACCCACCAATTTCCCATGTTGCGTTTGCGAGCCCCGTCGAGGTCCAGAGGGCGGTGTATTTGCCCAGGTCGTGCAGCTGCGAAATGACATACGCGAGACGCGTGTACCCGCACCCGTACCCGTCATTGGGAATCATCCACCCGCCTGAGCAGCAGCACCAGCAGCAGCAGGGGTGGTAGTTATGGCGGTGGTGATGGCACGCGACAAGCGCGAAAAGAGCATGCGACACGCAGCATCAGCGCGGGAGTTTGTTTACCCAGACTGAGCACGCAGTTGCCTCAACTCACCTGGGATGTCGTAAGCCGAGTAGTTCTTTGCCACAGCAATGATGTCGGTCGTTGTCCTGTTCTTTTGGTTGTAGCAGTCGGAGTCCCCAAGTGTCAGCCCCCAGATTGGTGGCAGAAACGGCCGACCCGTTGCCTGCAAGCGAAACAAGCAACAGCAGCAAAAGGATGACAACCCTGAGGTTTTGTGGAAGGGAAACTTTGCTCGCACACACACACATGTGTGTGCATGTGTGTGCATGTGTGTGCATGTGTGTGCATGTGCGTGCGTGTACGTGTGTTTGTGTGTGCACTTGCGCGTACGGGAGTGAGTCGGGAAAACACATGCATGTCACGCACCTGAGTGTAGAGGTCAAGGATGCGCTTCAGGCCGCCAACGACGTAAAACCCGTCAAACCTGCAATGGCGGGCAGCACAGTCGCGTCACGTAACGATACCGCCGTGGTAAGCAAACGAGGCGGGAACGAGCAGTCTCAATTAATTGCAGCTAGAGGGAGCATAGAGCCACCTGAACAATGCACAGCATAACAACAGGCGAGAACGCTGCACAAGTGCGTGTGTGTGTGTGAGTGTGCTGATATGCACTCACTGCGCTTCGTCGTGGGAGTAGGTGGCGTTGTCGAGAAAGTTGTACTGGCCAGGCGCATATGTGTTGCGCAGAACACCATAGCCGTCTGTTGATGGAAGGAGGAGCGTGGCGAAACGTTGAGCGAGATGGAATTGAGTGGGCTAGGGGATGGACAGCAGTGGAAGGGTGGCAGACAGCAGCGGAAGGTCGAGGACAAAAGGCACTTTCACACACACAGACACAGACACAGACACAGACACAGACACAGACACAGACAGACACAGACACACACACACACACACACACACACACACACATACACACACACACACACGACTGAGTTACAGGGGGTGCACCAACTGACTTGTTGACATGTAGAAGGGGACCGGGTTTGGCCTGCCGCCATTCTTCCACCCACCGCCCTCTTGAATCAGAACCTCCGCACCCCTGACGCGAGCAGTCGGGGCAGTCACGTGTTTCCAGAGAAGGGAAGGAACGCAGCAGACGCAACGACAGTGCATCGTCATGTCACCAAATGAGAGCGAGTATTGTGAGTTTGTCAATGCAACTGTACCTGTACGGAGGAACGCATCTCAACAAGCAACCACAACGTAGAAAAAGGCAAGCTGCAATACACAACAACCACGTCCTCCTCTTGCGTCGCCCTCACTCCACCACCACCACCACCACCACCACCATGGGATGTGACCTGTGGGAGAAGTATCCGTTCTGCATTCCGCCGCCGTAGAAATGCTCTCGAGCGCCGCGCAGCAGCGACTGCCGCGTACTCGTCCTGATGATGATGATGATGATGGTGATGATGGTGATGATGATGATGATGATGGTGGTGATGATGATGATGATGATGATGATGGTGATGATGATGATGATGATGATGATGATGATGATGATGGTGATGATGATGATGATGATGGTGATGATGATGATGATGATGGTGGTGATGGTGATGATGGTGATGATGATGGTGATGATGGTGATGATGGTGATGATGATGATGATGGTGATGATGATGATGGTGATGATGATGGTGATGATGGTGGTGATGATGATGATGGTGTGGGAAGACGCGATGGCGGCGCGATGATGAAAGCAAAGACGACGGGGTAGTCATAGAACGCGGCCAGTGTCTGGAGCAAAATGGTAATGCAACTGATTGTCTCATCTCACGTGTTCCAGAGCAGTGGCTCTCGCTCAGCAAACAGGACGGCGCCGCTGGTGGCATTGAGCACCCTGCAGGGGGTGCAAATTCAAGGCACATATGCACAGTAAAGCACACGAACACATAAAATGTACACACACACACACGCACACGCACGCACGCACACCCACACCCACACACACACACGAGCATACACGCAAAGTGAGGATGCGAATGGGTGTGCGCATGAAGCGTGGCAGCATGGCACGCGGAGCAGTACATATTGGGTGGGATGACGCATATTTGTGTGCTCACGTGAAGAGGATGGGGTTTTTGTTGATGGTGATGATGACTTTGGAGGTTGAGAAGGTGATGGTCGTGTCGTTGTCGCTGTATTTCGGCGTCGCTGTCTGCAGGCGGCCAATGGATACGATGAAAGCAACAGAAATACAGAAGGAAGGAAGGAAAGAGGTGACGGTGGTGGTGGATGTGCACAAGTGCAGGCTGCAACACACAGCACCGCACAAAGGTACCACACACAACAGTGCACACGATGCCAATCACGCCGCTGCAAAACACAATGCGCACGCTGATGAAACTGCGCAGCAGGGACAAACAAACCACCAACACCCCCCCCCACTCCACGGCGCTTACGGAATCGAATGTGGTGGAGGCGACGATCTGCGATCCAATGCTGTCGTCAAACGGTCGCACCGTCCCCGCAGAGATGCGGAACACATCAGCAGCATACAGCGTCACCTGAACATGTGTTGTGTGTTATCGTTGTGTTGTATTGTGTATTGTGTATTGTGTGTGTGTGTGTATGGAAACGTGCGTCAGGGCATACGGCAGGCAACAACAGAGGCGAGGAGCGCTCTGGGTTCTCAAGACACATTCGACATGTCATGTTCACATACATTGATGGTGGCGGTGGTGTTGGTGGTGATGTAAACCACGTTCTTCTGCCGTGTGACCTGTCCGTGTTGTTGGCGTGATGTGACATGTGTACAACGATGAATTCATTCATGACACACAAAGTAAACAAACAAGTAAACAATCCCACAAAGTAAGGTGCACAGGCCAACAGACACTGGCACCCAGAAACACACACACACACACACCTTGTTGACACGCCCAACGTTGCCTGGTTGAATGCCAACACATGATGTCAAGCACGAAGTGTTTGTGGCAGCTGGCTGGATGTAGATGGTGTCCTGAGGTTGCAACCACCGTGAACCATGGTGTCAGCATACACACACACGCATACACACAAAGTAGCAGAGATTCCAAGACACAGACATCACAAACACACAGACACAGACACAGACACAGACACACACGCACACACAGACACACACGCACACACAGACACACAGACACACAGACACACACGCACACACACACACCTTGCCGTGTGCGGTGAAGTTCCACTGCTGGTTCGAGGAGACGGGGGAGTTGCACGTGTACAGCTCCACAAGCTGGTCTTGTTGATCCAAGTCAACGCACTTGTCAGAGGCAGGGTGCACAATCTGCTGGCTCGTTGCGTTGTACCAAAATGTCTGTGTTGATAAACACGTCACCGAACACCCAGCAAGAAGCAAGTGTGGCAAACACACAGGTCAATATGGTGAGCCTATGCGGCCTCGCACGAGTCGATTGTTTTCGCATCCCCACTTATTGAAGAACCCACACGTGTGCTGCTGAGTATTGCTACGCGCACCTGAGCGCTGCTGCCGTTGCATGGTCTCAGCTCGAGGCTTGGGGTGCCTGATTGCGGATCAACCTGAGATACGGCTGGTTTGATTCACAATCACAGCTAAGTGAGAGATGACACGGAAAGCAAAAGGGAGAGAGAG